ATGATGAATGGGGATAATAATTCATAGCCCACAGGACTGTTATAAGGATCTTTTAGTGGGAGAGTCTGAAGTTCTTCTTTTCTTCTGCAGGTTGGAAAAAGAACTTCCAAAGCTGAGAACCCTGCTCGACTGAGTCGTAGGGAGCTGGAGAACTTCTGCATATATTCCTAGTTGCCATGGCTGTTCTCACCCCTCTTAAAGCCCAACTTCTGCTTTGGGAATCAGCACAATGGATGATACCATATGAGTCTCTGCAGAGTGGTTCCTAGTCTGGAGACGATATAAGAGTTTGTACGTGGTCTATATTTGTTTTGAAAATGATTTCTTTTTTTTAAACATTACTTTTATTTTTTTTTAATATAAATTTATTTATTTGAAAATGATTTCTAACAGCTGCTTTAAAAGCAAGGCTGTTAAGTAATATCTCAACTCACAGACCAGATAAGAGCAGATAGAGATGTTGGGTAGTTTCCAAAAGATGACACAGCATGTCCAAGTGCTGGTCATCTCCAAGTGCTATGTAAATGTGGTGTTACTATCACATTAAGATTCTGTTTCCCTGGTTTTCCACTGGTGACTCATCTTCACTCCTCCCTAATCAATGATGACCACATTTCTAGACCCTTCTTTGCCCAGACTCATCTTCCAAAAAGGAAGGAAAGATAGTGGGGGCTCAGAGGAGAAGAAAGAGGTCCCTCTTTCTTTAGTTTTTAGTATACCTTAGTGAAGGTATACTAAATAGCCCTAAGGCACTGGCAAGTTCTCCAAGGAGGCCAGGCCTGGGCTATACTCAAATACAGAGGAAAAACTTCCCCAATACATATTAAACTTTACCTCTAGCCATCTGGTCACAAATGGGTGTGGGCAGGAGCAAGAGTAGATGATGCAAATCAAGCCCATCGCTGAGTGGAAAAATCACCCAGAGTCCATGCCATCCTAATAATCGGGCAGTGGAAGCAACTTTGCCTACAGAATGATGTTTGATTTACACAAACACATTATTAGACATCTATTTTGGCTTCTTTACACATTCCTCACCATTAGAAACAGTATTATTTAAGTTCTGAGTCCTGATGCTCCCCATGGCAAATGCCTACAGAATGATGTTTGATTTACACAAACGCATTATTAGACATCTATTTTGGCTTCTTTACACATTCCTCACCATTGGAAACAGTATCATTTAAGTTCTGAGTCCTGATGCTCCCCATGGCAAATGCTAGAGGGAGGGCTCAGGCAGCTGAGCAGTGAGGACCCAGGCACCCTGCTGGGCTCCCCTGAGCCTTCAAGCCAGACCCTTCCACAAGACTGTGGGGAGCAGGCTGAAAGTCTGGTTGAGCCCAGGAAAGGGGAAACTGGAAGAGGGCCTGGTCAGAGACCCCAACAGGTAACATTGCATGGAGCCTGATTCTTCAACTGCCCCACTGTGTTTAAGGTATGAATTTAACATAGATCTGTGCTATTACTTAAAGGCAATCTAAATTTCTTTTCTGAAATTTAGGATAGAAAATGGAAATGGGTCTCTTCCCTACTCTGTACTTTTCCTCTCCCAGCCAAAGGGCACTTGTGGGCCATCAATAAACACACACTGTTTAACTCCTGCTGGAGAAGAGTCTGGACTCCTGGTGAGCTAGTTGTCTCCTAGCCTTGTTCACACTGGAACAGCAGATTCTAGGGTCCCCAGATCCAAGTGCCCACTTAGTCTTGGGGGATAGCCACTTGCTCATTCCCCTCGGATCCTTCTCCCCTGTGGGTGTGTGATTGGTCAAGTTAGCTTCTTCCTGGAGACTAGTCGATAGACAACATCTGGGAGAAAGTGTCGGCATAAAAATTGGAGAATGCAAAAGGATGGGGAGAGGATCCAATGCAATTGTGGGCAGCTGAACAGCCTAGTCAGGAGTTTCATGAGAAGAAGGAGTAGCAAATTATAGGGGTCATAGCAATTCAGATGAACAGCAGAGATGCTAACCATTGCCTACTGCTGGCCTTTTACATGTCCTAAGTTGCATAGATCTTGAACTGGGCAGATTCATTTAAGGAGCAAAAGAGATTCTATGGGTCTAGCAACTTCAGGGATGCTCTATTCTGGAATGTAATAATGATTATCATTATCATCTAATATGTCTTTGTTGAACTCTGTGATAATGCCTTAAAAAGATAATTATCCATGCAATTACCAGCCAGTGAACAAAGCAGTAAATAAGTTCCTGCTGTATATGAAGCACTGCTTGGCTCCCCAGAAATACCCACTGCAGGCCACAGACAACACTCTGATTTCACAGACTGTGTGCTGTTGCAGATGACAGTGGAAGCACAGTATTAAAAAACACAAATGGGCCACAAAGCACATGTAACACGAGTGCACACAAGAGTATCACAAATGTAAGTCAAGAGCAGTGTAACTTATAGGCAGGGAGACAGGATGGAGGCGACTGTTTGGGGGAGAAAAGAGATATGGCGCATATACATCTGGACATGACAATAAGGAGGAAAATTCCTTTTGGGTAAATATGGGAATCTTAAACAGAAGGGACATTTTAAGTGCTTCAGTTCAGCTCAGTTCAATTGCTCAGTCGTGTCCAACCCTTTGCGACCCCATGAATCGCAGCACGCCAGGCCTCCCTGTCCATCACCAACTCCCAGAGTCCACCCAAACCCATGTCCATTGTGTCAGTGATGCCATCCAACCATCTCATCCTCTGTCATCTCCTTCTCCTCCTGCCCTCAATCCTTCCCAGCATCAGGGTCTTTTCAAACAAGTCAGCTCTCCACATCAGGTGGCCAAAGTATTGGAGTTTCAGCTTCAACATCAGTCCTTCCAATGAATATTCAGGACTGATCTCCTTTAGGATGGACTGGTTGGATCTCCTTGCAGTCCAAGGAACTCTCAGGAGTCTTTTCCAACACCACAGTTCAAAAGCATCAATTCTTCAGTGCTCAGCTTTCTTTATAGTCCAACTCTCACATCCATACATGACTACTGGAAAAGCCATAGCCTTGACTAGACAGATCTTTGTTGGCAAAATAATGTCTCTGCTTTTTAATATGTTGTCTATATTGGTCATAACTTTCCTTCCAAGGAGCAAACATCTTTTAATTTCATGGCTGTGATCACCATCTGCAGTGATTTTGGAGCCCAGAAAAATTAAGTCAGCCACTGTTTCCCCATCTGTTTGTCATGAAGTGATGGGACCGGATGCCATGATCTTAGTTTTCTGAATGTTGAGCTTTAAGCCAACTTTTTCACACTCTTCTTTCACTTTCATCAAGAGGCTCTTTAGTTCTTCACTTTCTGCTATAAGGGTGGTATCATTTTCATATCTGAGGTTATTGATATTTCTCCCAGCAATCTTGATTCCAGCTTGTGCTTCCTCCAGCCCAGCATTTCTCATGATGTTCTCTGAATATAAGTTAAATAAGCAGGGTGACAACATACAACCTTGACATACTCCTTTTCCTATTTGGAACCAGTCTGTTGTTCCATGTCCAGTTCTAACTGTTGCTCCCTGACCTGTATACAGGTTTCTCAAGAGGCAGGTCAGGTGGTCTGGTATCCCCATCTCTTCCAGAATTTTCCACAGTTTATTGTGATCCACAGAGTCAAAGGATTTGGCATAGTCAATAAAAGAGAAATAGATGTTTTCCTGGAACTCTCTTTTGGTGCTTTTTCAATGATCCAGCAGATGTTGGCAATTTGATCTCTGGTTCCTCTGCCTTTTCTAAAACCAGCTTGAACATCTGGAAGTTCCTCGTTCACATATTGCTGAAACCTGGCTTGGAGAATTTTGAGCATTACTTTACTAGTGTGTGAGATGAGTGCAATTGTGCTGTAATCTGAGCATTCTTTGGCATTGCCTTTCTTTGGGATTGGAATGAAAACTGACCTTTTCCAGTCCTGTGGCCACTGCTGAGTTTTCCAAACTTGCTGACATATTGAGTGCAGCACTTTCACAGCATCATCTTTTAGGATTGAAATAGCTCAACTGGAATTCCATTGCTTTTAAGCGCTTAAAAATATATAAAAAAAATAATGTGAAAGTGAAAGTCGCTCAGTCATGTCCAACTCTTTGCGACCCTGTGGACTTTTCCAGGCCAGAATACTGGAGTGGGCAGCCTTTTCCTTCTCCAGGGAATCTCCCCAACCCAGGGATCAAACCCAGGTCTCCTGCTTTGCAATCAGATTCTTTACCAGCTGAGCCACAAAGGAAGCCCAAGAATACTGGTTAAAAAGAGTAATACACACAAATGGTTTAAAAAATCCAGCAGTACAAAATATATGCAGTAAAAATATCCCCAAACCAACCCAGCTTCCTCCCAGAGGCAGCCACTGATAATTTTTTTGTATTTCCTTTCAGAATTTTTCTTTATGTAAACATACAGCTATCTATTTCTTTTTTATTCAACTGGTGACATATGATACACACTGTCCAGGACTTTGTTCTGTCCACCAAATGACGTATCTTGGAGCTCCTTCTTATTAGCACATATTAGTCTCTACTTTCCTTCTTTAAAAAAGTGGCAGGCTTTACCATTGCATGGGTACATTTTCATGTGATTAATCAGATTCCTACTAAATGGACCCTTAGGTTATTTCTAGTCTTTTATTTAAAAAAATACTACAGTGGTCATGATTTCACCTAGATCTTTGAGTTCATAAGTGAGATTATCTGTTAGATTTATCTTAGCAGCTGTTTATAGGACCACGTGAAGATCCTGGTCCTCTTTGATGACATGACAAGCCTTAGCAGAGTTTTGAGGCATGCATCTGAGCTGAGAGTTTGTACAATATGAGCATAGAAGGAGACAAACGGAGCCCAGAGGCTGTCTGATCTGTTGATGGATTTGGGAAGTCACGGGGTGTGAGAAAAAGAGGAGGCCCAAATCCAGGCATATCTGAGACAATGAAGGAAATTCTGAAGTTCTTCTGTCTGCAGGGGCCCGGGCCTTATTAGGTGTAGCAGCCTCTCCAACCTCACTGAGGGAGGTAGTTGCTTTTCTTTTCAGGGGACATTTTCATAGGTAGGTATTTCAGGAGACTCAAGGTCATTCTGTTGTGGTGGTGGCACAACCTGTGAGCCAAAACACACACAAGGATATGGTTAATAAAGCCGGGAAGTTACCAGTTTTCTCAACCTTGTGCTGGGAGGAGAGAGGAAGGTGAGGCCAGACTATGAATGGTCCATCCTATAGAAGTAAGGTCATATGGATTGGCGTAAGGATGGAGCAATCATTCAAGCTGATGATAAGCATTTATGGAAAATCTCCTAATGGTCAGCGCCATGTGCCAGGCTCTCTGGAAGGGAGATTTAGGACAGTTTGGTGCAACAAGTTGAGGGGGTTCATAAGTGACAATAAAAGGCCTTGCTCTCAAGAAGATACAGTTTGGGATCCCAATCTTCACCCTAGCAAGAAAAATATTTATATAAAGATTATTCAAGTTATAGAGGTTGAGTTCCATAGTAATAGTCCAAACCATTAGACCTTCATGTTCCAAGGGTTCTTGGAATCCCTTGTTTGTGAGTGTTCAGGAAAGGCTCAAAAGAGCAGATGAGACATGAGCTGCTGCAGAGGGAAGGTCTGTTGTTCTTTAGTCACTAAGTCATGTCCATTCTTTGGCCACCCCATGGGCTGTAGCCTGCCAGGCTCCTCTGTTCATGGGGTTTTCCACGCAAGAATACTGGAGAAGGTTGCCATTTCCTCCTCCAGGGAATCTTCCCGACCAAGGGATCATACCTGAGTCTCCTGCATTGTAGGTGAATTCTTTATCACTGAGCCACCTGGGAAGCCCAGAGAGGAGGTTACGTACCAGCCATAGCTTGGGAATAGCACAAGCTTCTTTGAGATATCATGCAGATACAAGTGTCAGAAAATAATAACTAAAGAAGGCTTGAGGATTTCCTGATTAAGTGGGAAATAGTCACTTTAGGAAACCCAGAACGAGGATTCTTGAAAATTCTGAAGGTAAAGAATAAATTCTATCTGGAGGATGGGTCAGGAAATGCATTGATTTTTTCACTTGTATTGTGGGTGAGGGTGGTTTTAGGGATCTTAAGTTCCTGGAGTGGTGTAGGAGTCATTCAGGACTGACCAGACAAAGGGGGTCTCATGACCTGTCCAAAACTCGGAGCAGGGACTGATGTCCATGACTTTAAGATTGACTAGTATTGACCCAAACACAAAGGGCCAGGCCCAAGCAGCTTTGGGAATGTAGTGAATAATACAGATTTGGCTTCAAGGCCAAAGATAAAGTTCTTAGCTGATTAAACATTAGGCCATGCTCTAGAAATCAGGACATGAGGCAGAAGATGGTTGAATCAAATTATACAGTTGCATGAGTGTTTACCAAGCAAATTTTATCAGTCTTTTAAGGTCTAGTCCAAATTATTTTCTCCATGAAGTTGTTCCTGTCTACCTCTGTGCAGTGCTATCTACCATTTCCAGTGTATGAAGAACCCTTGGGAATTGCATACATAATATGTAGTCACATAGAATATTTTCTCTCCCCATCCAGGTTACTAAATCACTTCAACTCTCCTACATCAAAGATAGACAATATAACAAGTCTTAAAAGTCAAGGCTAGTGCCTTAAACATATCTGAATCCCCAGAGCACTCAGCCCAGTTCTGGGCAAACAAAAGGTATTTAATAAATATCTACTGTTTGATTCATCAACTATAGAGAAGAAGCATAACTGAAAAACTTTGAGAGCTAAAAAAAAAAGTCTTATTTGAACATTTTACAGGAAGGGAATTCTGGGGGAGACTTGAAAGCAAAAGTATGAATGGGCCCAATGTTTTCAGGAAAGTGAAAGAGGAGCAGACAGCCAGATTCAGATCAAAGTTAATTGTTTAAGAGTTTTCAGGATTAATAAAAATCTCTGTGTTTCCTAACCACTTGCTCTGTGTACTTAGGCAAACTTAGTTTCCTCAATCTCAGCTTCTCTGGGTATAAAATTTGCATGATAGCACACTTACAAAGGTATTATAAGGATCAGATGAGACTATGTTTGTCAATGTTTTGTAAACTATTAAAGTTTATATAAACTTATTATTAATGGGAATTTCTATGCTTAGTGTTCAGTCACTCAGTTGTGTCTGATTCTTTGTGACCCCAAGGATAGTAGCCCACCAGGCTCCTCTGTCCATGGGATTCTCCAGCCAAGAATGCTGGAGTGGGTTGCCATTTCCTTCTCCATTTTTATGCTTAAGGGATCTTTTAACACTATAATGAAACCAATGTGCTGTAATTAATAGCACATTTTCAAAAAAACCTTGACATTATACTGTTGGTTATATTCCAATTGTTTTGGAAAGTTTCCATTTTGATGGATGAGAGAAAGATTTAGAAACATATATGGACCGTATAGTGTTTGTGTTTATAGACTCATTCTCGTCAGTGTTAAGACCAATCAATATAAGATATTGTTAAATTAATTAGAAATGTTCAGCTGTTGGCTGCATAGATGTAAATCAGGAATAATTCTTTCAATATCTCTATGGACCAAGGAGTGTGTCAGGGGGTGCACAGTGGGTGGAGCTTAAGTTCCTCTGCTTTCAGTTAAAATGGTCTGGGCCTCACCTTATGGACCTCAGGATACAGAGAAAATTGTTCTCACCTTCTGAGGTTTCTGTATAGAGCAGTAGACTGTGGCTGAATTCTCTTTCTTCTGAGGAACTGGAGTCTTTCCCTGTAACAGATCAACACCAGGCTGTCCATAATCACCCAAAAAGAGTTTTCCAGAGATTCACCCTCAGTCTTTGAGGTGAAGGAACACCTCACCAGGCTCTGATTTCACATAGAGGGGGGGACTGCCTTAGTGCAGTGGAGACAGCACCTCTGTTTTCCCAGCACCTCTCTTATTTATGGCACAAGATTGGGAGCTGAGGGATGGGTTCCTTTGCTTTGAGGATCCCTGAGGTTGGTAAACATGGATAGAATCACAATTCTCTACCCATGCACTGCTGTGCCTGTCCCCCAGTTTGGAGGGATTAGCCTTCCAGGATACTGGATGGTCCTAGAAGGGAAGGGCAAGGGAAGGTGTACTGATCAAAAGAGCTCACCTGCAAGTTAAGGAACACTTGTGTGTACACCGTTTCCCCTTCAACCACAAGTGCTGGTGCCATGTTATCTGGAGTGACGAGATCATACTCTGCTTGGCCCTCAGAGTCCGAGGCAAGTCCGGCGTCCTCCCGAGTGCCCGAGTCACACACCTGGTCTCTTCCATTGATGGGCTGGTGCATCCCTGTCCTCTCCTCATCCTCCTCAGTTGTTCCATTGCTGTCAGAGCTGCTGTCGGAGGCATGCCTGCCAGTCTTAGGGAAAGTGTCCAGCTCCTCACACCCTTGGGAAAGCATGGAGTATGGTATGCGGCCAGCAGTGGGCTCTGGAACACATTGTTCAGGATTGGTAAAGGATGTACCAGCACCCCCCTCTCTCTTGCTTTGCTCTGACTCCTACCCCAGATGAGGCCTAGAGAACTGGAGGAGAAGGAAAGTTTTCCTGTCTTCCCTCATGGGGCTCCATTCCCCTCCCCATTCCTCCTTTCTTTCAAGCGCTCACTTATTCATTCATTTGATAAACATTCATTGAGTGTGACATGTGATGGACTTAGCAGCTCTCAGTGAGCAGTATTCTGGGGAAACATAAATGTGAATTAGACCTGGTGTTGAAGGAGTACACTGTCTAGCTGGGAGTCAGATACATACATAAATCAAATTATGTAAGGCCAGCTCTGACAATGTCATAGGAAAACTATGAGAAAAGCGCATGAGTGAGAGGACATAGTCTCCAGTTCGGAAGCAGAGAAGAGTTTACGAAAGGACTGAATTAAGGTGGGCCTTCACACTGGGACTTTGATGAGTGAAAGTGTATTCTTGGTGGAGAGAACAGCATGATTAAAGGCAGGTATGAAACTTGAGGCACCCTCTCTTTTGGAAAAGGATGATACTTAAAATATTTAGCAACCACGTGGTTTGGGCATAGGACAATCAGAATGGGTGGCTGCTATAAACAACTGGGTGGACCTCTACTGCCTTTGGGACATATCAATCAACCCATTTGATCTACATGTAGAATAATAATGGCTTACACTTTTTAGGTGCCAACTGTGTGTCAGGCGCTGTTCTAAAAATAATGCTTTTCATGAATAAATTCATTCAATCTGCATAAAACCCAATTAAACATAGATAATAACTATCCTTATTTATGTTTCACAGATGAAAAAACAGAGCACATTAAGGTTGAATATTTGCCCAAGTTTAAGTGGGAGGGCCAGGATTTGAATGCAGGTAGTCTGACCCCTGATGTTCTTACCTGCTACTCAATACTGCCCCCTATGGGTTTTACATAGGAAAAAAGTAGACTAAAGACGACCTGGCCCGATATTGAGTGATAATAGTACTTATCTACCTGGGAAGCCAGGTAGTGCTAGTGGTAAAGAATGTGTCTGCCAGTGCAGGAGACACAAGAGATGCAAGTTTGATCCCAGGGTCAAGAAGATCCCCTGGAGAAGGAAATGGCAAGCCACTCCAGTATTCTTGCCTGGAGAATCCCATGGACAGAGGAAGCCTGGTGAGCTATAGTCCATGGGGTCACAAAGAGTCGGACATGTCTGAGCCTCCCTGCCCCAACACACAAAGTTATCTCCTATTGAAAGGTTGTTGCTGAACAATAAGACGCCGGGATTCTTGGCCTCCGGAGGAGATGAATTCAATCTGGGGCCAGAGATGAGACTGGATCGCTCAGAGCTTTTGTGTAATAAAGTTTTATTAAAGTATAAAGGAGATAGAGAAAGCTTCTGACATAGGCATCAGAAGGGGGCAAAAGAGTACTCCTTTGCTAGTATTAGCAATGGAGTTATATACTCTCCAATGAATCCAAAGAATGTCTGGAGGTTGTAAAGACCTCACAAGACTTACTCCCATGAATTACATTATAAGATAACAGAGTTGGCCAGAAGGTTTAATTCAAAAATTGTCCTCAGGCAGGATACATCCTTGTAAAGACCAGACCTACTCCCATAATTTATGTTTTAAGATAACAGAATTAGCCAGAGGGTTTAATCCAAAGAGTGTCCTCAGGCAGGATACATTATTGTTATATAGCTACTCACAATCTGTTAATGAAAAGAAAGGAATGTCGTAAAACTTAGAATGGCACCAGATAATTCATCCCTGGCCAGAAAACATTGACTTGAATCTTGTAGAAGGGCAGATTACCAACAAATAGTTTCATTTACATAGATTAGGGGAACAATACCTGAGTAAGTAGGTTGGGCCATTTGGCAGAACCAACTTGAAGATAGAGTCATAGCTTAAGACAACATTTCCATAAGAAAAAGAAATGTATTGGTTAATTCAAGGTTTGAGAGAAGTTAGCTTCAGGTGAAACCAGGTGTCATGGCAACACAGCATTTTAAGAGAAACCTCCTTTTAAATTTGTATAGAGAAGAAAAAATATCACTGGTTTGTTTCCTCCTGCTGCTTAAGAGAGATAAAAATGTCTGGCACTTGCAGCCACTTTCCTCCGTTTGGAGACCCCTGGCCTTCCTGCCTGTTACCCTCTCACTATTGAGTGCATACTGTGGACTCCCTGCTGTCCCTTGCAGTCCTCACAGCAATGCTAAGAGGTTGGTGCCCTCATTTTGCAAAGTAAGGAAACTAAGGTTTAGAGACTGAAATGCCCAAGATCACTAAAGAGGAGGAGAGCTAAGATTGAAACACAGTATTATCTGAACTCAGGCCTCTTACACCTGGGAATTCCCTGGTGGTCCAGTGGTTAAGAATCTGTCTTCCAACCGGGGGATGCAGGTTGGATCTCTGGTCAGGAAACTAAGATCACACAGGCCGCAGGGCAACTAAGCCTGTACACCGCAGCTCCTGAGCCCATGCTCCTCAACTAGAGAGCCTGCCTACCACAAACCACAGAGCCCACATGTTCTAGAGCCCGTGCCACAGCTAGAAAGAAGCCTGTGTGCCACAAAAAAGATCCAGCATCTGCAACTAAGACCTAATGCAGCCAAAAATAAATACATAAATAAATATTAAAGAATTTATACACATGACCACTAGGTTATCTTGCCTTTTGAATAACAGACAAAGACCACAAGGAGCCATTGATGGTTATACAATAGTCATAATTGAGCTTTGCAAAGTGACATCAGAAGGGCTAAAAAGGAGAAAATCTGGAGACGGAATGGCTAGTTAGGAAACTATTATAATATTTTAGAGAAGAAGTTACAGGCATGGGAATGTCTATTAATAAAGACTTATTAAGATATATCTGTAGAATGGATTAAATGAGAGTCAGTCTTAATCTACAATTAGATTTAAAAAAGCAGACTCAGAAAAATGTGATAGATTACTCTTGCATATGTGATCAAAGGAAAAAATATACAGCTTGTAAATGCATGAAAATGCTCTCAAAGGATGTAAACATACATATATCTTAACAATAGAGGTCTTTTCAGGGAAATACATGGTCATTGGGATTTAGGAGGGGATTATTTTTAGTTTTTACCATGTGAATATTTGACTTTTCAATTAAAAAAAAAAAAACCTATTCAATAAAACAAAAAATTGGTGACAGCATGAACTCAGGCAGTGGCAGAGTCTTTAGAGAAAAGGAAGCTGAAGAGATAATGGAGAAGTGAAAGAAGCAGGACTTGGGCACTGAGGAGAGGTGCTGGGGGCGGGGGGAGACAGGAGGGGCACGGATGCCAGCGGTGTCCCCAGTACTTTCTCTCTCTTCCTCTTGTGCCCAGGATGCCAAGGAAGGAGAGTTCAGGCTAGTGGAGACCAGGGTCTGTCCTGCCAGCTCTCAGGAGGAAGCTGGTGGGAATCTCCAAAGTCCAGATTTATTTCCATTTCTTGCCCCTTTTTTCTTGGTTACATTTTCCTATCAGAAAAGGCTACACTGAGCCCCTGGCTCCCCTCAGCAGGCCCTCCTCCTATTCTACCTCCTTGGGGCATCCCCTCCATGAGAAGTGACACAGGGATTTTTAAAAGAAGGGTTTGACTGAGTGGTCAGGGTTTGGGGATTCCTTAGAACTCCAGAGCTCCAGAGTTCAAGGTGGCAATTTAGAACACTGAGATTCCGGAGTGGGAGAGTAGGGTGAAGGCATCTCAGCTCTCCATCCCAAAGCTCAGCAGAACAGCTCCACTTTTACATGCATTGTGCTTTTGGGGTGTTGCATAATATTTTGTTTGAAGAAAGTATTCCTTAGCTTTATCAAAAATCGGAAAACCACTGCCTCAGTAATACTCTTGGGTGATAGGTAACTAGAAAGTCTTATGTTTTAATTTTGCTTCTGTCACAGATTTACTATTACATCTGGTCTTTGTTTCTCCATTCTTGGAGTAGAGCCAATAGCTTCATCCTCATCATGGGGCACACTGCAGTAATGACAGTCAGTGCCTGAGGAATCCTAGATATCCCAGAGGACAGACTACTTCTCCTAGCTCTGGTTACCATCTTTCAGGAGTCCAGCCTCCTTGGGTCTTTTGTTCTCCAAATCACCTTCCTTTAACACGTAGCTTCTCAAACTTTAACAGTCTTGTGATTCACCTACAGATCTTGTTAAAATACAGATTCATGTTCAGAATTATGGGGTGGTGCCCAAGATTTGCATTTCTAACAAGCTCCTGGGGATATTCATGTTGCTGGTCACACGTGCAGATCACACTCTGAGTAGCCATGTTCTGGAGCTTCCATGTGGCCTGGGACCCAATAACCTGTGTCATTGGTGACATATTACCTGGTGTGTCAACTGATGTCTCAGCTTGACTGGAACTGAAAGCTGCGGCTGAACCTGGAAAACCAAGTTAGAGAAGGAGTGTCAATTGGGCTGTGAGAAGAGAGTTTCTGATTTTGTGAGAGTCAGAGGAGAGGGAGAGAGATTTCTGAAGATGTAGACAGGGAAAAGGCTTTTGGGAGGAGGGTGAACCCTGATGTGAGAACAAGCCCACAGGAAGGGATGACCATAGTCTAGGGTCATTTTCAGCTGAGGAGAATGCTCTGGAGCCTCCTGCCATCTCTCTGGAAGGGAGAGCTATGATCCCTCTGTGGTTGCCACTTATCAGTTTGGTTTGCTGGCTCACAGTAATTCTTCCAGGGGCCCTGTGTTCTAACCAATCTGTTCTTCCTGGAAACTATTCCATCTCCCTTCAATATTCCAGAAAGAGCTGCCAATCACAAAAGTTCATCCTATTGGCCACAGTGATTAGTCCAAGCAATAGTCACATGACTTAAGTGGAGCCAATCAAGTTTCTAAGGTTCTTCAAATTGGAGTTGGTGGGGAAACATCTTTCTCCCCTTCCTGGTGTCTGAACTACCAGTACATGTGAGTCTGGAGTGCAAGCTGCTCTGTTTTGGTACATTCTACCCACCCTGCCCTTCAGTTGGCTGAAGAAAGAGAGCTAAGCTGGCTCAAAGGGAAAAATAGGGATGAAAGATGGAGCACCCTAGTGATTTTTGAGGCTCTGGTGATGTTTGTCTCTAGGCCAGCTCTTCCCTTCCTTCCCCAAAGATTGACCATATAAGCCCTCAGATAACAACTCACTCCCCTTGCGCTTCACGTCACCCTTTTTTTGTCTAAGCTAGCTTGAATTGGGTTTCAATTATTTGCAACTAAAGAGTCCCCACTGACACCTCTCTCTGATCACTCTGAGAAGAAATGAGGTTTGAGAGAGAAGGGGTAGAAAGGGGTTATAAGAAGACAAGGACGTCTCCAAAGGTCCCAAGGAAATGGCCTAGTGCTGGCAGATGAAATTGATGTCAGAAACTCACATCGTCTTTTTTGCTTCCAAAAGCACCAGCCAGAGATCCCAAAGCCCAGAAGGATGAAAAGAACCACCAGGGAGAGCCCAATCCAAAACTCTGTGCTTCTCTCAGGTCCTGTGAAGAGGAAATGGGGGATATTAGTATAAGTAATAAGAAGAGAGTTAGGGCAAACTGTGGACAGAACAGAATGGCCATCCTACCTTCCTCTTAAAATCCCACACCATTGCAGAATATATTCCTTTTCATTCATTAATTCTACAACTGTTTATTGAGCAGTCATCCTCTAAGCAAGAAATTATAGCAGTAAGGCAGGCACCACCCCTGGATAGAGAGGTTTATGGCTTGTCCAGTGTCACAGAGAACCTGAGCTGGGATTTGAATGCAGGCTGCCAGACTCTAAAACACCCTTATCCATCATATCACTGCCCTTCTCTAAAAGTGCATAAGGGGAATTCTACGTAGTGAGTCCAGAGTACTATTGATCAAGGCTCTAAACCCATTTGCCAGTCGCAGCCTGACTCAGCATTTTCACATCCTGGGTGACCTTCATTGTTTTCCCCTCTACTTCTTGCTAGGGAAGAGCAGCGCATAGAATGCAGAATCTCAATCCTGCTTTTGCTGTGTGATCTTGGTTAGTACGACTGAGGAATTAAACTATTTAATTTAAATTAATTAAAATTTAAATTTAAAAACTGTTACTCAATTCCTAATCGAAAAACTGTTAAACTGTTATATTTGGAACAGGTTGGATATAAATATATTTTTTCTTTTTTCTTTTTTTTTCTATTTATTTTTATTAGTTGGAGGCTAATTACTTTACAACACTGCAGTGGTTTTTGTCATACATTGAAATGAATTAGCCATGGATTTACATGGATTCCCCATCCCGGTCCCCCCTCCCACCTCCCTCTCACATCCCAGAATTTTAGAAACAAAAGCAAAAATAAATGGGACCTAATGAAGCTTAAAAGCTTTTGCACAACAAAGGAAACTATAAGCAAGGTGAAAAGACAGCCCTCAGATTGGGAGAAAAATAATAGCAAACGAAGCAACAGACAAAGGATTAATCTCAAAAATATACAAGCAACTCCTCCAGCTCAACTCCAGAAAAATAAATGACCCAATCAAAAAATATATTTTTTCAATGGCAAATTTTACGAAATCTGAATACAGATCAAGTACTTCCCATGAGAAGGGAAGTACTTCACTGAGATGTGCCATAAGGGTAAAGCACATCCTGGATTTCAAAGGCTTCATACAAACTGAAATGCAAATGATGTCATGAATAGTTCTTTGTGTTGATTACATGTTGAAGGATGATATTTTGGATATGTTGGGTAAAATAAAATATGTGATTAAAATTAATTTTACCTTTGTTTTTGCCTTTTCCATATGACTTAAAAAGTTAAATTACCTATGTGACTTCTGTTATATTTCTATTGGCATGTGCTGCTCTAAAGACTCTCACTCCACTTGCTGCACTTCATAAAGAACTGCTCGGAAGGAAAACTCTTAGGTCCAAGGACCCAAAGCTCTGAGGTCTGGCTGAACAGAGATGGGGAGCAACCTGGACAGAGGTCCCTAGAAAGAAACTGCCGGGAGCTGTTGCTGACAGGGTTGCTGGCAGTGCAGGTGAAATTGGGGTGTTTTTCTCCACTTATCCAGGAGATGCTGAGGTGAGCTCCTCTTTGGGAAATGACAGCTCCTTTAGGCAGAGGGGCCCATCCATATGTCACATTGTGTCCACTGTCCTCCACTGAGCATGTTAGGCTGATCTTGCAGATGCCGTCCTTTGTGAGCCCAAGGCTCCTCGTGACTTTTGGCTTCTTCAGCCTCTCTGTGTGAGGAGAAAGGCAGACCAGATTTGGAGTCAGGCCCGCCCACTGGGCAGGGACCATTCAAAATATATTCATTAAGTTGTGCATTGACTCTGCCTTAGGGCTGGGAAGGTTCACCTGGCCTTTCCTTTGGTTGCTATGAAATCTCAGCTTATCACTTGATGATCAGATATGTGAAGTGAAGTGAAGTCGCTCAGTCGTGTCTGACTCTTTGTGACCCCATGGACTGTAGCCTACCAGGCTCCTCTGCCCATGGGATTCTCCAGGCAAGAACACTGGAGTGGGTTGCCATTTCCTTCTCCAGGGAATGTTCCCGACCCAGGGATTGAACCCAGGTCTCTCACATTGTAGGCAGGCGTTTTAACCTCTGAGCCACCAGGGAAGCCCATGTATAGAAGAGTTAATGAAAGGTGAAAAGACATACTATAAAAGGCATCATTCTATATGGTATACTGTGAAGAAAAAACAAACCAATCAGCGCAGATAAGCACAATGCTTCTACCTGCCCCGAGACCCTCCAAGGCTTACATTCTGAGGTCCCATCATCTAATTTGTTTGCTTACATGAGATAAGGAATATAGAAAGGAGAGCAGAGCACTGTCACAGAGTAAGTACTTAATAAATACTAGCAATTTCAAAAGCAACATATGGCTGGCACACTTTGTTCCCAGTTTCTTATTCCTTTTACTTGATTTTCTTCCTGGTTCTTTGATATTTGAGTAACAGTAGGCAACAATAGCTGTGAACTAGCTGACTTACATATTTTAACAGGATCATGGATTGTGACTGCTTTCCCAAGTACTGAGACACCAACATGCCTAGGCAGGAAATAGGTTGACCATGTCTGAATGGTACAGGTGAAGGAGCTGGCAAATATAAATTATACAAACTGTCCAGCCAAGCTCCAGTGAAGCCCAAGGTGGAGGAGGGAGACTGTGAGTTCTGTCCTTCACACTTAGGGAAGCTGAGTACCCTTCCAAGCTCTTGGAGCTCACAGGATATTAAAGACTTTCTCCAGTCTTCTGTGATTTTACCCCAGCCAGCTTTGCCTTTATACAAAATTGCAATGTTCTATAAATGTATATGTTGTAGAGTTCCTGGTCCCACCCATAAATCAATGCAGGAGGACAGGGCAGGTACCAAAAGTTGCTTGGTTGAGGCTTAACTGGAAGCCTAGAAGGGGGCCCTGAGCAGGGAGATTTTGCCCATCTGCTGGTTGTATTGTCCTGTGAACTGACTGGTGTGAACTGAGTAGTTGTCTTAGTGGTCTAAGGCATTTTGTAGGAGGAGGGAGGTGGGATAGGCAGCAAAGAGAGAAATCTTTCAGGAAAGGAATCTGATGATTTGTGCTCAACTCAGAAACTCACGGTAGATGTGCAGATTGATGTGCTTCACACTGGCAATTCTGGCATTTGAGCACATGTAGGCATGGTAGAGGCCAGCGTGCTCCATCTTCAGCTGGATAATCTTTAGAGAGTAGTCTTGGTTGAGACCCACACTGTGCTCTGATCCGGATTCTTGAACTCAATGAGTTGATTGGCTATTCCTTCTCCTCTCCACTCTTTGCTGATAATAGACGTGTTAAACATCCAGACAACATTGTCTACGTGCTGACTGTCCAGGAGTGCCAGGGACAGGGTGATGGACTCCCCCAGGACCCCTAGCACCGTCTCCCCCATTGATCCTCCTCGGGAGGCTCCTAGATCTGTGGTCAGAGGTGAGATATTGCAATTTCAGCCACTGGTCCTGACCCCTTGACCCTCAGCCTGCCTGAAGGGACTGAAGTCCCTGAGACCCTCCTGCCCAGGATCCCTTCTCCCCTTTTCTGATGAGGCATCCCTGCTGCTTTCCCATGGCCACTTATCATGCACAAATAAGCACCTGGCTCTGCCTAGTGCATACCCAGCCCTCTCCTGCCTCTCTGCTGTTTTGAGGACACCTGAGGAGACACCCCCTACCCCAGCAAAGAGCAATCTAGATTTCTGCATCCATAGATTCTTTCCTTTTCTCTGCAGACTCTTAGGGTTTCACAGTGCCCTGGGAGTGCCTAAGTCCCCTGTCAGTCTCTTGACAGGTAGAGAGGCCTACCTGCCTATCCTCTTGAGGGTAGAGAAAAAGGAATCTGCAAGTCTGTTCTCTTACCTCACTATTTCATCTGTGTCCTGCCAGAATCCTGGGGTTTAGACTCTATAGCTGCTTAGACTATTTCTGGGCCTTATTGAAGCCAGTTACCTGTGCAGAACTGCGAGACATGGACAGGGTAGGAGCTGCTCTGGCTGACCGGGTTCTTGGCTGTGCAGGTGTATGGTAGGTCTGCGTCACAGGGCAACCAGGAGACGATGAGAGTAGGGTCCCCCCAGGATTCAGAAGCACGAGGCTCTCTCGAAGTCCATTGGTACTGAACATCTCCGCCTGCCCCCTCTGCAGAGCATACCAGGGTGATGGTACAGGAGGCGTTCTCAGACACGTTCACAGACTGTATGGTGACTTGGGGCTCCTGCAGCTGTTCTGCAAGCACAATGGCAATGAAAAGACTACTCTGACTGCTTCCCCAGCAGGAAAGGGCTAAGAGAAAAAGATGGGGATAGTAGAGGAGCAGAGGGCAGAAGGCAGAGGCCAGCACTGTCTGTTCCTGTGGGAAGTTTTCCTTTCTTTTTTACTTAGTTTCCCACAAAGGTTGACTGCCTTTCCTCTGTGCTTACATAGTACCCTCTACAGGTGTTATCATTGTGACTCAACATGACAACAGTCTCAATACTCTCTCTCCCCCACCAGTCTGTGAATTTCTTAAACACAGAGCCAGTATCCATAACTAAACATCCAGCACCTGCCTGACCCATGAAAGGCACTCATGAATCTTTGGTAAATGTTAATAAATGAATGAATTGAGCTAGCCTCAGACTCTAGGGAGTTGGAAGCTCTGCCTCTATGATTTGAGTTGCCCTTGCCTTTTTGTCTAAATTTGGAACCCATTTTGCTTTCAGACTTTTTTCCTGGTCCTCTCCTTCCCTTTTGTTCCATTTCCTCTGTTCACAGTGTGTGTGTGTGTGTGTGTGTGTGTGTAAGTTCATTTTCTTTTTTATGGAATAGGCAATATATAAAATTGAAATTGCAAAGATACAAAAGGTATACACACACACACACACACACACACACACACACAAAGAAACAAGCTCTCTTGCCCCTAGCCACCTAATTTTTCTCCTAAGGAATTATTGTTCCTGGAGGGAATTAGTGTTATGAATTTCTTGTTGATCTTTTCAGAGATATTGTAGTTATAGACACATGTATGATAGCATATTATACATATAGTCCTGAAGCTTTAAAAAATTTTCATAATATATTTTGGAAATGGTTGTATATTAGTATATATTAAGTTGGTTCTTTCTGTTTCTCTTAACTGCATAGAATTCCATTTCCTTAATATACACAGAGCTCACTACAAATCAGTCAAAAATGTCAAACGATATGAGAGAAAAATTAAGCCATAGGCTTAGGCTTAATTTTGTGTCCCCCCCACCCCCCGTCCTGCCCCAAATGCATATGTTGAAGTCTTAACCCCCAGTACCTCAGAGTGTGATTGAATATAGCACTGTATATGGAAACAAAGGTAATTAATTTAAAATCAGGTCATTAGGATGGCCCTTAGTCCAACATGACTGATGTCCTTTAAAAAAAAGTTGCAGGATATAAAATAAACACACAGAAATCCCTTGCATTCCTATACACTAACAATGAGAAAACAGAGAAATTAAGGAAACAATTCCATTCACCATTGAAACGAAAAGAATAAAATACTTAGGAATATATCTACCTAAAGAAACAAAAGCCCTATATATAGAAAACTATAAAACACTGATGAAAGAAATAAAAAAGGACACAAATAGATGGAGAAATATACCATGTTCATTGATCAGAAGAATCAATATAGTGAAAATGAGTATACGACCCAAAGCAATCTATATATTTAATGCAATCCCTATCAACATACCAACAGTATTCTTCACAGAACTAGAACAAATAGTTTCACAATTTGTATGGAAACACAAAACACCTTGAATAGCTAAAGCAATCTTGAGAAAGAAGAATGGAACTGGAGGAATCAACCTGCTTGACTTCAGTCTCTACTACAAAGCCACAGTCATCAAGACAGTATGGTAGTGGCACAAAGACAGAATTATAGCTCAATGGAACAAAATAGAAAGCCCAGAGATAAATCCATGCACCTACGGACACCTTATCTTTGACAAAGGAGGCAAGAATATACAATGGAGAAAGGACAATCTCTTTAACCATTGGTGCTGGGAAAACTGGTCAACCACTTGTCAAAGAATGAAACTAGAACACTTTCTAGCACCATACAGAAAAATAAACTCAAAATGGATTAAAGATCTAAATGTAAGACCAGAAACCATAAAACTCCTAGAGGAAAACATAGGCAAAACATTCTCTGATATAAATCACAGCAGGATCCTCTATGACCCACCTCCAAGAATAATGGAAATAAAAGCAAAAATAAACAAATGAGATTTAATTAAACTTAAATGCTTTTGCACAACAAAAGAAATGATAAGCAAGGTTTAAAGATAGCCTTCAGAATGGGAGAACATAATAGCAAACAAAGAAACAGACAAATGATTAATCTAAAAAATATACAAGCAGATCCTGCAGCTCAATTCCAGAAAAATAAATGACCCAATCAAAAAATGGGCCAAAGAACTAAACATACACTTCCCCAAAAAAGACATACAGATGGCTAACAAACGCATGAAAGGATGCCCAACATCACTCATTATCAGTGAAATGCAAATCAAAACCACAATGAGGTACCATTACACACCAGTCAGAATGGCTGCTATCCAAAAGTCTACAAGCAATAAATGCTGGAAAGGGTGTGGAGAAAAGGGAACCCTCTTACACCTTTGGTGGGAATGCAAACTAGTACAGCTACTATGGAGAACAGTGTGGAGATTCCTTTAAAAACTGGAAATAGAACTGCCATATGACCCAGCAATCCCACTGCTGGACATACACACTGAGGAAACCAGAATTGAAAGAGACCCGTGTACCTCAATGTTCATCACAGCACGGTTTACAATAGCCAGGACATGGAAGCAACCTAGATGTCCATCGGCAGATGAATGGATAAGAAAGCTGTTGTACATATACATAATGGAATATTACTCAGCTATTAAAAAGAATGCATTTGAATCAGTTCTAATGAGGTGGATGAAACTGGAGCCTATGTAGAGTGAAGTAAGTCAGAAAGAAAAACACCAATACAGTATACTAATGCATATATATGAAATTTAGAAAGATGGTAATGATGACCCTATATGCGAGACAGCACAAGAGACACAGATGTAAAGAACAGTCTTTTGGACTCTTTGGGAGAAGGCGAGGGTGGGATGATTTGAGAGGGTAGCTTTAAAACATGTATATTATCATATGTGAAGTGGACCACCGGTCCAGGTTCGATGCATGAGACAAGGCATTCAGGGCTGGTGCACTGGGACGACCCTGGGGGATGGGATTGGGAGGGAGGTGGGAGGGGGGTTCTGGATAGGGAACACATATGTGCCTGTGGCTAATTCATGTCGATGTTTGGCAAAAACCACTACAATGTTGTAAAGAAATTAGCCTCTAATTAAAATAAATAAATAAACTAAAATTTAAAAAAAAAAAACAAAAAAAGAAGAGGAGACTGAGATAAAGACAACATAGAGACAACCATCTGTGGACATAGGGAAAGAAGGTGGCCTTATGCAAGCCAAAGAAAGAGGCCTCAGAAGAAACCAAACCTGCTGACATCTTAACCAGGCTTCTGAGTTGTGAAAAAAATAAATCTTTCTTGTTTAAGTCATTCGGTCTGTGCTGTTTTGTTATGACAGCCCTAGCAAACCAATATAGACTTTTGCACCACACCTGGGATGCTACTGTGACAAATTCCTAAAAATGTTGAGTGACTTTGGGACTGGTTAATGGATAGAAGCTGGAAGAGTTTTAAGATGCATGTGAGAAAAAGCCTAGATTGTCTTCAAGAGACCGTTCATAAAAACAGGGATGTTAAAGGGGATTCTGGTAAGAGCTTAAAAGGAAAGAAGACAGCTGTAGAGAAAGCCTCTATTATCTCAGAGATAGATATATATTATCATCAACATAACATTGGTAGAAATATAAACATTAACGGTGTTCCTGGTAAGGTATTAGTTGAAAATGAAGAACATGTTATTGGAGGAAAAGTGATACTTATAAAGCAGCAAAGAACTTAGACAAATTGTGTTCTACTTTTGAACGTTTAAGTGATGAACTTATTGTTCAGTTAAGGAGATCTCCAAGCAAAGCGCTGAGGGCACTATTTGTTTTCTCCTTTTGTGCTGTGCTTAGTCGCTCAGTTGAGTCTGATTCTTTGTGACCCCATGGACCGTAGGCTGCCAGGCTCCTCTGTTTGTGGAATTCTTCAGGCAAGAATACTGGAGTGGGTTGCCATGCCCTCCTCCAGGGGATCTTCCCAACCCAGGGATTGAACCCAGGTCTCCTGCATTGCAGGTGGATTCTTTATCAACTGAGCTACCCAGGAACCCTGTTTTCTCCTTTTGCTTGTAGTAAAATGTCAGAAAGGAAAGAAATATTGAGGAAGGAATTGTTAAGCAACAAGAAACCAGAATTTGAAGATTTGGAAAAGTCTCAGCCTATCTATATTGTAAAAATAAATAAATAAATAAATAATGAGAATTTGTGTCTGGAGAAAACACTGAGAGTATGGATAGACAATGGTGTGATTCATGGATCCAATCAACTATCTAAGTAGAAATTCTGCCAGCTTGGATTAAACAGACACAGATGGCACTAAATGAAGGAAGGGTATCAGATTTGGGAGATTTTCAAGAATGAGCCAGTAGAGATATCCCACTGAGATCATCCCTTATCCTTCAGGAAAAGGGAAGAATGGCCCCATGGGAAGTTCAGAGGTTAACGGGTCTGCCACTGGCATCACGGGCCTAAAGGATGTAGGCCCAGGGAGTGTTGGTGGGGGTGGTTCTTGAACCTTAAAAAGATGTGGTACTCAGTCATAAAAAAAAGAAAAAGAATTCCATTTGTAGCAACATGGATGGGCCTAGAGATTGTCATACTGAGTGAAGTAAGTCAAACAGAGAAAGACATCACATAATATTGCTTATACATGGAATCTTAAAAATGAACCTATCTGTAAAACAGAAATAGAGTTACAGATGTAAAAAATAAACTTCTGGTTACCAGAGAGGGTGAGGGATAAATTGGGAGATTGGTATTGACATATACACAGTACTACATATAAAATAGATTGACTAATAGGGACCTACTGTATAGTTCCTGTGTATGGAACAGGGACACTACTCAATATTCTGTAATGGCCTATATGGGAAAAGAATCTAAGAAAGAGTGGATATACATACATGTATAACAGATTTACTATGTTGTACATCTGAAACTAACACTACATTGTAAATCAACTATATCCCATTAAAAATTTTTTAAAAATCTAATGGAATTTGCCTTAATAGGGTTAAACTTGCTTGGGACTTGTGACTCCTTTCTTCTTTCCAATTTCTCCCTTTTGGAATGTAAATGTCTATCGTGTCCCTGTGCCAGCATGAAAGCAGGTAACTTGTCTGGTTCCACAGGTCCATAACTGGAGAGGAATTTTGCCTCAAATCACACTTACATATGATTTAGATGAGATCTAGAAAAGATTTTGAATTTGATGATAGAATGAGTTAAGACTTTGTGGGCTGTTGAGATGAGGTGAATGTATTTTGTGACAAAGACAAGAGTTTGGGGGGACCAGAGACCACAGTGCTATTTTTATTCTTATTCAGTGGGCTGAATAGAAATTCCTATGTTGAAGTCATAATCCCTAGTACCTCAGAATGTGGCTGTATTTGGAGACAGAGCCTTTAAAGAGATAATTAAGTTAAAGTGGAGTTGTGATGTGGGCCTTAATCCAGTATGACTGGCGTTCTTATAAAAAGAGGAGACTAACACAGACAATGCAGACAGAGGGAGCACCATGTGAGGACACATCAAAATGCCGGCCATCTGCAAGCCAAGGAGTGAGGCTCAGAAGAAATCAAGCTTGCCGACACCTTGATCTTGGACTTCAAGCCTCCAGACTTGTGAGAAAATGAATTTCAGTTGCTTAAATGACCCAGTCTGTGATATTTTGTTATGGCAACTCTAACAAGCTAATACAGATTGATAAACAATATTAACAGAGAGAGAATCCAAATGGCTCTTAACCATATTTTAGTTGTTTTTCACTCTTGATATCTGTACTTATGAAATTGGGTGAAAATGGCCAACATCATTGCTCTCTTCATCTTAGATAAATTCCTGCAGAGGAAAAAAGACTACTTTTAAAAATAAAAGGTCAAAGCTCACATGTGCTTTCTGGAACTCACCATAGATATATAAGATGAATCTCTCATTGATGTCTTCAGATCCCTTTTGGTTTATCCGGGCTTTGTATGAACCAGCATCTTTCAGAGTCAGCTTGTTAATAGACAAAGAGTTGTTTTCTGGGATGTCTATTCGCCCTTGGTAGCTTTTGTCTAACAACAAAATCTCTCCACTTGGGAATGCTAAAGCAATAGCATCTTTGGGACCACTCCAGGTGATACGCTCAACTTCTGCATCCACTGAAATGTTCAGGGAGAGAATCACTGAACCCCCTAGAATGCCTTTCACCACTGTTGAGGCTGAGTCCTTTTCAGAGGCTCCTTGCCCTGCAGAGACAAAAGAGGGACTTGGAGAAGCAGCTGGGATCCTCTAGCCAGCATTCATTCATTTGTTTGTTTATTCATGCATGAATGCATGCAGGCATTCATTCATTCTAAAAACACATGTTGATAATAAATGCTAGATGTTGAGAAATGAGATGATATTTTGGCTGTCCTCCCTCTAGGTCCATTGCTTAGCAAATTTATTCTCTCTCATGATGTTCTCTCTCATGAATGTAGCTACAATAATCAATACAGAAGACTTTATAGGCTTCTATTCCACAAGGAAATGAGAATGGTGACTTTGGATGAATTTCTGAATTTCCCTGAGAATCAGTTTACTCATCTATAAGCTAGAAATATCCCACCTGTACCATCTTCCTCCAGAAATGTGTTAGAGATGAAATAAAATCAGGTTGATATAAATCATAAAGGACTAGTGAAGTAAAAAAGCAGCACCTTTAAAAAAACAAGATGTATTGATGGATGACTAAACCAGTGGATAGATGAATAGGTGTGTGATATAGCAAGAAAAGTAAAACCCCAATGGGAGAACTGAGATGGGAGGTATCTGAGTGTTCACTGAAAAATTCTTACAAGTTTTCTGTATATTTGAGAATTTTCATAATAAAATATTGGGAACAAAAAAAAGCATCTTTCACCTCTATTATCACCTTACCTTTTCCTCAGTGTCCAGGGAATCTCAGCTTAACTTTGACTTGGCCAGGAAAATCTGGTCTATCATTAGGATAAAGGCTTGGGGTTGGGTAGCATTGACCAAGCACCTGATTTGCTCATCTCAGGAAAGACTCAGATCGCTGATAACTGTTGTTTCCAAGGCTTCCAGAGGCCTGACATTTGGCTACAGCAGCTTATTTCCTTGGAGAGGCCTTGTGAGTTCTGCTGAGTGACTCCAGCCTGGATTCCCAGATTCCAGGCTTCTAAGACTCTCAAGAGCACTCTGTAAACCCTAGACTAAATCAGATGGGTTCAGGACTCAGATTATTCCCACCAGAATTTTGGGTGGAAAAATATGTAGAGAATGTTGGAGAGAGAGGAGAGGCCAAAGAATAGCTGGGAGGAATGGGAAAAGTTTGAAGTGTGTTCTTAAAGCCTAAAGGTCACAGGAAACACAGATGCAGGGTGGAGACTGGTGCAGGCCAGGGCAGTGGTCTCTGCCCAGACCCCCATCAGCTGAGCACTTGGACCTTCCAGAGAGGCTGCCAGAGAGGATACAGGACTAGACACCCAGGACGTGGGAGGGTCTGTTCAGGTAGACTCTGGGGCAGATTCAGAAGACAGAAGTTCAGCTGATGTGATGGTGGCTTGAGGTTGCCTAAAAGAGAGCTCTTGTCATCCAGAATACCCTGCTTATGATTGCTATGTGTGTATTAGGCACTTTGTAGAAATCATTCATTTGAATTCTCAAAATTAATCTCATAAGTAGCCCTTTTTTCTGATGAGGAACTGAAACTTAGAGAGTTTAAGCCACTTGCCTGAGATTACAGGGTTGATCAGTGGCAGAACCCAGATTCTGGGTAGATGATACCCTGCGGTATAAAGGCTGGGAGCACTGATGACCCCATCCTGGGAGCCCAGAGGTGGTAGGTCTTGGCTGGGGGCATATGAATGTGTCTTGACCTTGTCTCTCCTCACAACAATGGTAAACAAAACTCACACATGTCAGTGGGAGGAGCACGATGTGGTTCCTACAGGTCAGATCCTATTGCAGCAAGCAGTGCTACATAGGTCCCATACAGGAGTTGCAGGTATCATCCATCTTATCTTGAACTACATTGTTTGACAAATTATTAAACGGAGGATTTAAAGATTGTGATAACTGAATTTGACTTGCCCATTCTTTAATATTTTCTGAATAATGTACTTATATCAATGATTATTATAATTACAAACATAGCTTCCACCAACTGTATGCCAAGCATTTACGCATACATCCTTAATCTATAAAACAGTCTTGCATAGTACATCTTATTGTTTGTATTCTACACTTAAGAAGTAGAGACTCAAACACCTGATAAATGATGGAACAAGAACTTAATTTCAAATATTCCTGATATTAAAGCTGGGGGCAGGGGGTTGGACTTGTTCAACCTACTGCCTCCTAAGTTCCTGAAAGCACTCCTTGGAAACATGGAAGCATCAAGAAAACTGCCTTCTAGACCAAAACAGTGAGGCTTGAGGTCACCCTGACTGGTGGTATCACAGAGGGAGATATCTCTTTGCACTGAACTGTTTGAAATTCACTTTTTTGACCATCTGGGTGCCGTTGAATGTGGCTAATTCCAGGTTTATCCAACACAACAAGGAAGCACCCCAAGAGTTAAGTGTGAATATAAATAGCCTTGCTGCTACCTGTGTTCTTATGGTAAAGAAAGATGAAATAGAAAGTGAAGAGAGGTTAGACTGAAATCCAGCCTGAGGTCTGGGGTCCCTCTACCCCTATACATGCATCTGAGAGTTTTCTAGAGTTCTGCTCACTGCTCAGCCACTAACTTCATCCTTACTACTGTGAGGTCCCTAGTGCTCCTGCATTATCCTCTCAAATCCCTGATGAGGAAGCAGAATTCCAGAGGGACAGTAACTGCCACTGTATCAGTGGTTGAGACCCTTCTGGGGTACTGGTGTCAGCTCTGCCCATTGGAGAGAGATGGCTCAGGCCATGCTCCTGAGAAAAGTTCCAGAAACTAGCAGAAATTGGGCCTTCATGGGGAGGTAGAATGTTGGGGAGAAAAGATATTCAGATAGAAGCCAACTAGCTGAGGGCCACCAGACCATCTCCAGATCCCCAGTGAAGCTTCCAAACATGTGATAAACAAGGCAGAATATAAAAAGAAGCTCCAGCAGTACTATCTGGAGAAGGCAACAGCAACCCACTCTAGTACTCTTGCCTGGAGAATCCCATGGGTAGAGGAGCCTGGTAGGCTGCAGTCCGTGGGATCCTTAAGAGTCAGGCACGACTGAGCAACTTCACTTTCACTTTTCACTTTCATGCATTGGCAACCCACTCCAGTATTCTTGCCCGGAGAATTCCAGGGACAGAGCAGCCTAGTGGGCTGCCATCTATGGGGTCACACAGAGTTGGACACGACTGAAGAAACTTAGCAGCAGCAGCAGCAGTCCTATCCTTCCCTTGGAAACTGGTAGGTGTTTTGTTATCAGGACAAGTTTCTTGTATCCCTCTGTAGGTCTTACCCACATTGCATAGGGAACAAACTCATCGTGCAGCATTTCTTATTCTGAAAATGTAACGGCAAGAGGAATAGAGTCTAAATCTGGGGTTATTTGAGTCTGGGGCTAGAAATTCACCTACTCATGGTGTGTAACTATGTATACTCACACACACACACACACACACACACACATACACACACACACACACAGAGCTCACAGTAAGGTGGAACCTGCAGAAAAATTACCAAAAGGAGACTGTTTCCTGCTTTTAACAACTAGTGCTGTGTGCCATGCTCAGTTGCTCAGTCATGTCCGAATCTTTGTGACCCCAGGAACTGTAGTCCACCAGGTTTCTCTGTCCACGGAGTTTTTCAGGCAAGAATACTGGAGTGGGATGCCATTTCCTCCTCTAGGAGATCTTCCAGCCCTGGGATGGAACCCACAGCTCCTGTGGCTCCTGCATTGGCAGGCAGATTCTTTACCACTGTGCCACCTGGGAAGCCCTTACATAACTAGAGTCCCAAGCAAAAATGTGACCAACCTCACGGGAATACCAGTGGCCACAATGTGGACTTACCCATGAGCAAGAAGAGGAGAAGGGTCCATAGACAGGGAGAGAATATGTGTGGTTGACTCTTCGGTGGCTTATTGCAGAAAGGTTGCAGAACCCAGTCATCTGTGTGTCTCCTTGGGCTCGCCATGATGATCTACTTTCAGATTACAGGCTGAAAGGGGAAGCACTTACCACAGCTTCCTCAGCTCTGTGTGTGTTTGTGTCCCAGCGAGAGCTGTTTATACCGAGCACCACAGATTCGTATATGCTCAGGCTGGGGTAGAGCTACCAAGTCTATTATTAACCTTCACAGTACTTGCAAACCTATAACGGGCATAACTTGCTTCAGTCTCAGGAGACTTACGTTCTAAACTTGGCTCTGAAGATGCCCCTTACAGATCTCTACCTCCTGGTAGAGACAACTAGTACATGCCCTGGTGTAATCAACTCTTCTTGAGTATGAGATGGATTTAGTGACTTGCTTCTAGTGAGTAGAATGTGGCAGAGGGATGGGATGTGCCTTCCATTTTGGGCTGACTCCCTCTACCCTCCCTTCACAGTCCCATCCTTCCCTGACCTCATGCTAGGAGATAGGTATTATGTTGTAAGGATGGCCTCCAGCCAGCAAGGAATTAATGTCGATAGTTGATGAGATCTTGAGGCCTTCCAAGAGCCTTGGAGGTGAAATTGGAAGTGAATCCTCCCCTGGGAGGGCCTTGAAATGACTGTAGTCCTGGCTGACACCTTGACTGTAGCTTAGTGAGGGACTGTGAGCCAGAGGTGCCCAGCTAAGCTGTGTCTAGATTCTTGATCCATAGAAATGGCAAGATAATAAATGTCTAAAATAAATAAATAAATAAATAAATAAATAAATAAATGTTTACTGTTTTAAGCTGCCAAGTTTCATAATTGGTTACCTAGCAGTGGATAAATAATAGAATGATCCAACAAATTCCCTACTTTGCTTAAGCCAGTTTGTGTTGAATTCCTGGCAATGCAACTGAAAGATTTAACTAATCTGGAAAAAGCACCAGGGAAACTTCACTGAGGATGGATATTGTTAGTGACAGGTGTATAATCGAGTTGAGAAGGTAGGTTGTCCATTCAGTTGCTCAGTTGTGTCCAACTCTTTGTGACCCCATGGACAGCAGCACCCTAGGCCTCCCTGCTCATCACCAGAGCTTGCTCAAACTCATGTCCATCGAGTTGGTGATGCCATCTAACTATCTCATCCTTTGTTGTCCCCTTCTCCTGCCTTCAATCTTTCCCAGCATCAGGGTCTTTTCCAATGCTGTCAGTGACGTCAGTTCTCCATATCAAGTGGCCAGAGTATTGGAGCTTCAGCTTCAGCATCAGTTCTTCCAATGAACATTCAGAACTGATTTCCTTTAGGATTGACTCGTTTGATCTCCTTGCAGTCCAAAGGACTCCCAAGAGTCTTCTCCAACACCACAGTTCCAAAGCATCAATTATTCGGTGCTCAGCTTTCTTTATGGTACAACTCTCACATCCATCCATGACTACTGGAAAAACCATAGCTTTGACTAGATGAATCTTTGTTCACAAAGTAATGTATCCACTTTTTAATATGCTGTCTCGGTTGGTCATAGCTTTACTTTCAAGGCATTAGCATCTTTTAATTTCATGGTTGCAATCACCATCTGCAGTGCTTTTGGAGCCCAAGAAAATAAATTCTGTCACTGTTTCCTTTATTTCCCCATCTATTTGCCATGAAGTGATGGGACCAGATGCCATGATCTTAGTTTTTTGAATGTTGAGTTTTATGTCAGCTTTTTCACTCTCCTATTTCACTTTCATCAGGAGGTTTTTTAGTTCCTTTTTGCTTTCTGCCATAAAGGTGGTGACATCTGCATATCTGAGATTATTGATATTTCTTCTGGAAATCTTGATTCCAGCTTGTGCTTCATCCAGTCCAACATTTCTCATGATGGACTCTGCAAGATGGACTTACATAAGTTAAATCAGCAGCATGACAATATACAGCCTTGACATACTCCTTTCCCAATTTGGAACCAGTCTGTTTTTCCATGTCCAGTTCTAACTGTTGCTTCTTGACCTGCATACCGATTTCTCAGGAGGCAGGTCAGGTGGTCTGGTATTCCCATCTCTTTAAGAATTTTCCACAGTTTGTTGTGATCCACACAGTCAAAGGCTTTGGCTTAGTCAATAAAGCAGAAGTAGATTTTTTTCTGGAGCTCTCTTGCTCTTTTTTTTTTTAAGATTCAACGGATGTTTATATTCAATGGATGTTGACAATACCATCTCTGATTCCTCTGCCTTTTCTAAATCCAACTTGAACATCTGGAATTTCTCAGTTCATATACTGTTGAAGCCTCACTTGGAGAATTTTGAGCATTACTTTGCTAGCATGTGAGATGAGTGCAATTGTGTGGTAGTTTGAACATTCTTTGGCATTGCCCTTCTTTGGGATTGGAATGAAAACTGACCTTTTCCAGTCTCTGTGGCCACTGCTGAGTTTTCCAAATTTGCTGGCATATTGAGTATAGCACTTTATAGCATCATCTTTTAGGATTTGAAAGAGCTCAACTGGAATTCCATCACCTCCACTATCTTTGTAGTGATGCTTCCTAAAGCCCAGCTGACTTTGTGTTCCAGGATGTCTGGCTATCAGTGAGTGATCACACCATCATGGTTATCTGAGTCATTAGGATCTTTTTTTGTGTAGTTATTCTGTGTATTCTTGCCACCTCTTAATATTTTCTGCTTCTATTAGGTCCATACCGTTTCTGTCCTTTATTGTGCCCATCTTTGTATGAAATGTTCCCTTGGTATCTTTAACTTTCTTGAAGAGATCCCTAGTCTTCCATTCCATTATTTTCCTCTATTTCTTTGCATTGATCACTTTAGGAGGCTTTCTTATCTCTCCTTCCTATTCTTTGGAACTCTACATTCAGATGGGTATATCTTTTCTTTTCACCTTCGCCTTTAGCTTCTCTTCTTTACTCAACTATTTGTAAGTAGCCTCCTCAGGCAACCATTTTACCTTTTGCATTTCTTTTTCTTGGGGATGGTCTTGATCACTTTGTTGAGTATGTACAGTTGCTTCCTGTACAATGTCACAAACCTCCATCCATAGTTCTTCAGGTACTCTGTCTATCAGATCTAATCAACTTGAATTCATTTGTTAATTCCACTGTATAATGGTAAGTGATTTGATTTAGGTCATACTTGAATGATCTAAAGGTTATCCCAATTTCTTCAATTTAAGTCTGAATTTTGCAGTAAGGGGTCCATGATCTGAGCCACAGTCAGCTCCTGGTCTTGTTTTTGCTGCCTGTATAGAGTTTCTCCATTTTCAGTTGCAAATCAATATGATTTCAGTATTGAGCATCTGGTGATGTCCATGTGTGAATCATCTCTTGTGTTTTTGGAAGAGGCTGTTTGCTGTGACCTATGCGTTCTCTTGGCAAAACTCTGTTAACCTTTATCCTGCTTCATTTTGTACTCCAAGGCCAAACTTGCCTGTTACTCCAGGTATCTCTTGACTTACTACTTTTGCATTCCAGGCCCCTATGATGAAAAGGACATCTTTTTTTGGTGTTAGTTCTAGAAGCTCTTATAGGTCATCATAGAACCGTTCAGGTTCAGCTTCTTCAGCATTAGTGGTTGGGGCATAGAGTTGGATTACTGTGATATTGAATGGCTTACAATGGAAACTAACAGAGGTCATTATGCCATTTCTGAGATTGCATCCAAGTACTGCATTTCAGATTCTTGCTGACTATGAGGGCTGTTCCATTTCTTCTAAGGGATTCTTGCCCACAGTAGCATACATAATGGTCATCTGAATTAAATTTGCCCATTCCAGTCCATTTTAGTTCACTGATTCCTAAAATGTCGATGTTCACTCTTGCCATCTCCTGTTTGACCCCTTCCAATTAACCTTGATTCATGGACCTAACATTCCAGGTCCTCTGTATCATTTTCCTTTACAGCATCAGACTTTACTTTCATTACCAGTCACATCCACAACTGGGCATTGTTTTCACTTTGGCTCTGTCTGTTCATTCTTTCTGGAGTTATTTCTCCACTGCTCTCCAGTAGCATATTGGGCACCTACCGACCTGGGGAGTTCATCTTTCAGTGTCATACCTTTTTGCCTTTTCATACTGTTCATGGGCTTCTCAAGGCAAGAATATTTAAGTGGCTGGCTATTCCCTTCTCCAGTGGATCACGTTTCGTCAGAAGTCTCTGCCAGACCTGTTCGTCTTTCGTGATCCTACACAGCATGACTCATAGTTTCATTGAGTTAGACAAGGCTGTGATCCATGTGATCAGTTTGGTTAGTTTTCTGTGATTGTGGTTTTCATTCTGTCTGCCCTCTGATGGATAAGGATAAGAGGCTTATGGAAGCTTCCTGGTGGGAGAGACTGACTGTGGGGGAATCTGGGTCTTATTCTAACGGGAGGGGCAATGTTCAGTAAACCTTCCATCCAATTTTCTGTTGATGGGTTGGGCTGTGTTCCCTCTCTGTTGTTTAGCTTGAGACCAAACTATGGTAGGGGTAATGGCAACCTCTTTCAAAAGGACTTACTGTTGTATTCAGTGCCCCTGACCCCACAGCAGGCCACTGTCAACCCGTGTCTTCGCTAGAGACTTCCAGACATCCACAGGCAAATCTGGCTCAGTCTCTTGTAGGGACACTGCCTCTTTCTCCTGGCTCCTGTGCCTTCCAATAGTTTTGCTTGTGCCTTCCAATAGTCTGTTTCTCCATTCCTGTGGAAGTTCTGTAATCAATCCCACTGACCTCCAAGGTCAAATTCCCTGGGATTTCTCAGTCCCTTTTCCAGATCCCCAGGTTGGGAAATCTGTTGTGGGTCCTTAAGAACTTTCTTAACAGTGTGAGAGTTTCTTTGGTATAATTGTTCTGCAGTTTGTGCATTGTCTGTTTGGCGGCTTTATGGTGGGGCTAATGGTGACCTCCTCCAAGAGGGCTTATGCCACATGCTACATGTCCCAGGTCTGCTGCAGCCAGAGCCCCTGTCCTTGTGGCAGGCCACTGCTGACCTGTGTCTCCATAGGAAACACTCAAAGTCAGGTCTGGCTCAGTCTCTGTGGAGTCACTGGGTCCTGGTGGTTGGGGGTGACATAAAAATTCCTTTTATC